GCCCTGCCCGCCGCGCTGCTCCCTCCGAGCGCCGGCTCTGCGGCCGGCGCGCCCTCTCCCGCCGCGCTGGGAGCCTTCTCGGATGTGTTGGTCCGCTGCGAGGTGTCCCGCGTGTTGCTGCTGCTGCTGCTGCAGCCACCGCCCGCCAAGCTCCTGCCGGAGCATGCCCACACCCTGGAGAAGTACTCCTGGGAGGCTTTCGACAGCCACGGGCAGGAGAGCGGTGGCCAGCTTCCCGAGGAGCTGTTCCTGCTGCTCCAGTCCTTGGTCATGGCCACCCACGAAAAGGACACAGAAGCCGTCAAGTCGCTGCAAGTGGAGATGTGGCCACTGTTGAGTGCTGAGCAGAACCACCTCCTTCACCTCGTTCTGCAAGAAGCCGTCTCCCCCTCGGGACAGGGCATCTGATGAATCACCTTAATCAAGTGACTTTTTGCTTGTGACAGAACTTCGTGCACCTCCTCTGGCGTTTGGGGCGGAGGGGGGCGGGCGGCGGAATAAAAGACGTGAATCCTGGCAGTTCTACCTTTGGTTATCTTATTCCTCTTGCCTCCGTAGGAACTTAGTTGACCGGAACTTACCTGTATCCCAAAAACTTCTTTCCATGACGGTGGGAGGGAAACAGCAGCAACGTGATAGAATCAGTGGAGGACACGGCTCTCTTCCCCAAAACTGCCCACATACAAGTAAGAACCCCCTTTAGCCCTTACCTCTTCTTCCACCCGCTCCCCGCCCCCCACATCTCTGTTGCAAAGTGAGGATTTGATTTCGCACAGCTCTGAGTACTTAAGCTGCATGCTTTTTATCCTGATCTGATTTCTTGGCATAGATCAGTGTCTGTCCATGTGACCACCCAAGTTCTCCTTTGTTTCATCCGCCCCATACATGTTCGTGGGAATGATCTGATTACATACACCATTGTGGCTACAGCCCTAAGTCCATAATAAAGCCATTCTGATGCTCCTAACTTGTGGTTTAGCTTTCCTTCCATCTATAACATGGGAACAGCTTCTCTGCCTATCGGGAAGCAGAGAGTAGAAAAACAGATGGTTGTCTTTCAGGTCCATGATGTATTCACTCATTTGAAACTGACAGCCCAGGACTCAGGCTGTGCCACGCAGTGAAGCTACAGAGATCCTTTGCGTTGTGGACCTTACTCAGCTGCAATGCAAATGTGTCCGGTGCAAGGGAGGGGGCGTGTTCTAATGCAAATGTGTCTGATGTGCCTTGGAATTCACAGTTCTGGTTCTAGGTTCCATTCTGAGAGGTATGCCTCGTCCGCGTGACGACTTTTATTTTGTGGTAGGGAGTTCTCTGCGACTCTTGTTTAACTCAAATATGTAAAATCAGCATGGTTCTCTGGTACTGTGCGGTCATATATATGCTAGACGGTGTCTCTGTTCCCCAAGAGCAGGAAAGCATCCCATTTCAAAATATTACATTTACAAGGCTTTTTGGTCCAAATGTTACATGAAATGTTACGAACTGGGCGTTTTTAAATTCGATTTTATTCTCTTTACGGTTAGGGTTAGGGTTAGTATGCATCCTCTAGGCTGAAGTTGTATACAGTACTGATCTTTTGGGGTGAGATTCAAGGACACGGTTCAGCAGTAGATTTCTGTTTTGCCTTTAGTGTGTGGTGGGGGGGTGGGGTGGGGAGGGGGGTGTGTGGAGGGTTGTCACCGTGAGTCAAGTGCCTCAAAATGGGTGGGATTTTTAGGGTCATCTTTACTACCTCTATTAGTAAGCCACTGCCTTACTGTCTTAGGACAAGAATGCTTAGGAGTTATGGAATGTGACTGGTGATAGTATTTGGATTTGGGTTTAAGGAAAAGCTAGGCTTCTGGTCTAACTCCTTGCTGTGGGGACAGAAAGGGGAGGGATTACCAGAAAGCCTGGTGTTGGGTATATGAGCAGCATTAGAGTACTCCAGAGAAACAAAATGAACAGAATCTATGTATATGTGAGTGTATACTTATATATGTGTGCATATACATACATATACATATGTATGTTTATATCTACGAATAGATTGATTTTAAGTTATTGGTTCACATGATTGTGGAGACTTGAAAAGCCCAAAATCTGCAGGATAGGTCAGCAGCCTGGAGACCCAGAAAAGAGGTGCAGTAGAAGTACAAAGGCAGTTTGCAGGCTTAATGGCTGAATTCCCTCTTCTTCCAAGGGGGTCAGCCTTTTTCTATTAAGGCTTTTAATTGATTGGATGAGACCCATCGACATATAGCGGGGAGGTGTAATCCACTTTACTCAAAGTCCACTGATTAAATGTCAATCTCAACTACAAAATACCCTCACAGAAACATTAACAGTAATGTATGACCAAATGTCTGGGAACAATGGCCTAACCAAGTTGACACAAAATTAACCATTGCAAGTACACCCTTTATCAACTTGGCACCCAGACCCATCTCCTTTATACATTCTTAAATTCCTAATAAAGATAGTAACAAGGTTCTACTTAGACCTAACATGGTGCAACCATCCTGTGTACAACCAAAAACACAATAACCCTTTGCCTGGTAGAAAATGCACAGTCCTTGAGTAATATTTACTCTTCTCCTTGACATCCTGAAACTTAAATACTATGATGTAAAGTTAAGAATACTTAAATACTATGATATAAATTCAGTATACTTTATATTCTATGATAGGAGGATAAGACAGGGAAGAAAACAGATATTTTATGCACACAAACTCACAACCATATTGATAACAAATGAAGGAAAAAATACTCATGTCAATTACAATCTCTGTTTCTGTAACTGATCACATGGTCATAGCTGGTATTCATAATACTGCACAATTACACTTATATGAGGTATCTAAAATAGTCATATTCATAGAATCAGTGCAATGGTAGTTGCCAGGGCCTGAGGGGAGGGCAAAATGGAGAGTCACTAATCAATGTGCATAAAGTTTCAAATAAGCAAGATTAATAAGTTCTAGAGATCTGACATATAACATTGTACCTATAGTCTACAATAATGTATACTAAAAAATGTATTAAGAGAATAGATCTCATTTTAAGTGTTATCAAACTAGAATAAAATTTTAAAAAGTGATGCTCTTCAAATATAAAAACAGATCAAAAGTAAAAGGATGTATAAATATATATCATAAAAACAGAAGGCATAGGAAAGCTGGAATGGTTATTTAGATATTAGAAAAATTATAATCATGTTGGAGATTTTAGCATCACTCTCTTAGAAAATTGAAATGTGCTTAACATCTTTCATCATTAGTTAATTGAAAATTAAAACCACAATGAGGTATCACTATATATCAAGTGGCTAAAACTAACCAGCTGACAACATCAAATGTTAGCAAGAATATGGAACAACTGGGACCCTCACACATAATGGGAGTATAAAATGGTACAAACACTTTGGAAAACAGTTAAGTGGTTTCTTATGAAGCTAGATATACACCTAACCTATTACCTAACACTTCCACTTTTAGGAATTATCCATGGGAAATGAAAGCATATTTGTATACAAAATTTTGAACATAAACATTTATGTAGCTATTTTCATAATAATAAAAAACTAAAAACAGGCCAGATATCCATCAACAGTTGAATGTATAAATAAAGTGTAGTTTATCAGTACAGTTAAATAACACTAAATGACGAAAAGGAATGGATCATTGATACACGCAAAAATATGGATGAATCTCAAAAGAGGCTTCACTGAAAGTACTTGTATGTCTGATTCCATTTATTTGAAGTTCTAGAACAGGCAAAACTAATATGTGGTGAGAAAAAATAAGATCAGTGGTTGCCTATAGGAAATGAGGATAATTGGGAAGGGAACTGAAGGAACTTTTGATTTAGTAGTTCAAATCCTTAGTATTTACCCCAGGGAAATGAAAATTTATATTTATACAAACCCTATCCATAAATGTTTATAGCAGTTTATTCAAAATTTCCAAAACCTGGAAACCAAAATGTCCTACAATATGGAAATAATTAAACAAAATGTGGTATATCCATATAATGGAATAATACTTGCCAATAAAACATAACTATTGATACATTCTAGATGAACAATCTAGATAAACTTCAAAAAGCAATATGTTGAGTGATAGGAGTCAGTTTCAAAGGTGACATACTGGATGAATGTATTTATAAGATGTTCCAGGAAAGGCAGTTCTACAGAGATGGAGAACAGAGCAGTGGTTGTCAGGATTAGGTCTGTGGAAAGGGTTTGACTAATGCTGAGAGTTTACTCCAAAATACTGCTGCTTCAGCTTTCATTTGGTGTGGATAAGCAACATGCAACATGCAGGGGCCTTGAGCAGGCACTCGCCTACCCTCAAGTGCATGCCCTAGATGACAACCAGCTGAGTCACAAGTAGGTGTAAGCACCTGATATGACTTTCCCAATCACCCTGGTGTTAAATAGTCACTTCTGCTTCCCAGCTCCTCCCTCTGTGGATCCCTTAGATAGGACTCCCACAGACCTTACCAAAACATGACTCTTTTTTGTTTTGAATTGGTCAATCCAGCCTTGGCCCGGAAACCCCAGAAATATTTCACCCATGAACCTTAGTAAAGGCATATACTCCAGGTCCTGCTGCCCCCTCTCTGCATGTGCCGTGCCTTGACTTCCCCATGTGGCCCTCCAAACATGCTGTGTACCTCTTCCAGGAGCTATGAGTAATACACCTCTCTGTTTCCCTTTCCCTTTCAATCTTTGTTGAATCTTGGCTCACCATCCGACACCCTTACCCCAGGCTCTTCTTAACAAGTGTTAATTTAACAAAAATGACAACAACTAAAAAGGGGCGGGAGAACTATACCAGAGACTTTTCTGGGTTGATGGAGCTGTTCCAAGTCCTGAATGTGGTGGTGGATACACATATCTATACAAGTGTTAAATTCATAGAACTGGGCTCCAAAAAGGTTGATTTTATTGTATAACATAAAAAAATAAAAAACATAAATAATAGTTTCATGGACTGCATACAGTACCAACCCTGTCTTATTAAATTCTTATTTTAGCACAACTATATTTTTATAATTTTAAAATGTATTTTTATATATTATGGATATACACATATGTATGCATATAAAATTTTATGTATTTAATTTCTCTTTAACTCTGCTAATCACTATCTAAAATGGAGGACAGATGTTATGCTCTCATTATAAAAATGAAGAAGTTAAAGTTACAGTAAAACACCAGTACCCTAGCAGGAAAGCAGTAGCCATAAAATTTCATACTAAAAATTCGAACTACATAAGGCATAAAGAAATAACACTAAAAAATGTAGGTCTCACACTCACCCATTACTCTGGCTTTCAGACCCTATGGCCTAGTGCAAGGTACATATGCAAATTATAGTTTCGGGAGGAGGGCAGACGGGGGCGTGGTGGGAAGCCTTTCCAGTGGCAAAGTTCATATGCAAGAGAGCTGAGGCCAGAGACCTCGCGGGGCGCCCGTTGTCTATGGAAATCGTGGGTCCTGGGGCGGGGCCTGGCCAGGTGCCCGCCGTTGCCGGGCGACACAGCCTGCTTACCCAGGTTGCTACTACAGGCGTCTCCTAGCGTCTGTAACCGGAACCCGAGGAAAGCTCAACTCGCGATCCCGCGTGGTCCTAAAGCCAAGTTTGCACGTTTCATGATTGCCAGCCACCCCGTCCGTCCTCAACCTTCCAAAGCCCCTGCCCCACTAGAGCCCAGGCCAACAGGTCTGTCCACCCCTCCGTCCCGCACCCGGGTTGCCATTGCACGTGTTCACCCCTTCCCGACGCCACGGTCACATGGTCTTTGAGCTCCAGCCCAAGGAACACCATCCTTCCCGGGACCGTCCCGGGCTCTGACGTGCTCAGAGCCAATGCGGGGAAGGCGGGGGGGCGCGGGGGGGGGCGATCTTCTGTGCCCCGGCCTCACCCCCCTCCCCACCGCAGCCAGCCTCTCCCACCCAGGGCCACCCCCTGCACAGT